TGGGCAACTTCTTACTGCAAAGTGGGAGCAAGGTTTAGTAAAACAATTAAACAGCATAATTTGTTCAAATACAAGAAACTAGAAGCAGGGCATAATCTGTTATTGTTTTTTCAGAAAATAATTGAAAATTTAACTTTTGAATGGATCATTTCACTATGAGCATACATTTTCAATTTTTTAATTTTCTAGTGTAACATGTTTACAGTAATATATATTTTTTTGTATGATTACTAGTCCTACAATGAATTAATGTAATTCTGGAAAGGAAAATTTTAATTTTAAATACTTTGTCATGATTTTGAATTAGTAAAGGTCTGCAATGATATCAGTCAAACATTAGAAAGTAAAACCCTGATATACAACAACATCGGTGCAAGTTGAAAATTTGGAAAAACCCTTAAACTATAATTCATTTATTAATCATTTTTCCACATAATCTAATAGTAAAACATGATGATATTTGTCACAAAATCCTAGGCTTCAGGCATATGCACCATGCAACAAGTGATTACAGTAAACATGTTTAAAAAGTTTGATGGACTGTAATTAATTACTAAGGGATCAGTAATTACCACAAGATGACCAAACCTTAGAACCTTATGATAAGGAAAGACCTTTAATGTACATGCAATCAACAACAGACCTAAATTTATTATTGAAAAAATGACAAACCTGTAATGAATTTTTTTCTTCTCTGCAGCAGAAACCTCTTCCTTACAGATAATTGCAAAGAATCTATAAATAGGATCATGATGATCATCATCACGATGAAGACTTCATGGCTGAAACTTCATCACTTTTTGCTATAACAAACTACCAGTTTGAGCTATCTTGTCCTGTATACATGTATATAACTTGTCTGAACCTACATGTACTGTACCTTCACTGTTATCAAACAGTAAACATGACAGAAGTCACCTAAAAAAAAAGCAAAACAAAGTTTAATGTCTTATAATATATTAAAGATCATGCACAAGTAATCAGTATTAAACAAGCAAGTTATATCATTTTACCACAATTTTTTCTGCACATATGATATCTGCATTAAATATATATTAAATAATAACTTTTTAAAGGTCCATTAAGCCTTAGAAAAGATAACATTTTTATTTTTTCAAACTTTCCTTTTACATATCTTGTTGCAGTTCTCAAATAGTTACATGTACTCATTGACCAATGTACATGTAGATAAGTTATCTGGCAATTGGTATAATTACATTAATTCAGTATTTTGTATGTAAGTCAAAATAATAACTTTGCTCACATTTTGCTACCTTTACAACACATGACTGTTTGTTCAGTGTTACTCTTTTCAGTTGTTAAACATTTAAAATGCTCTAAATACATCATTAAAACATAATTGAACACATATTTGACCTTTCTAGGGAATAACAAAATTATTTATCTTTGACACATTATATGTGCTTTTTAAGATTTTCAATATTTTTTACCAGAGATTCTTTTACCTATACACTTACTCTATAGATTAATTTACTAAGAACAGAAGATAATGTAAAATGTACTACACATTTAGTAACACACAACTTGACAGGCAAATTATACATTTTTCAATATAATAAGATACAAAAAGAAAAACTGTTTCTCTCTGTAACCAAAGAGAAATCATAAATATTGTAAACTTCAGACTCATACTCTTATTACTACCTTTAGCTAAGGTTGTTATAATATATGTACTTTTCCAGTCAAAATGAGGTAAATATTTTTCAAGGAATTCTTCTTTATAAATTAATATGCGAACACAAAACAAATAAATATTAACAATATGACAATAAGTTAAAATTCAGTATTTGACCATTGATGGTCAGTCATCTAAAGGTAAATGTCATATATGAATTACTTTAAAGGGACTCCACTGAGGCTTTTGACATGACCAGAATGGAAATAATATTTCAAGATTGATAATTTGATATTCTATTTGATGTAGATCTTGGCAAAAAAGCCTATATGCAAAAATTTCAGATCATGCACTCGCTCTGTTTTTCCCAGAATGATTACTTGAATAGTGTAAAATGTCCCAAAAATGAAACAGTGCTTTTGATTCATACATGTATTGTGAATAGAATTAGAATAGCACACAAATATACAATTTTCAATGTATTTCTGAATATATTTCTTAATAGTATGTGCATATCATTCTGGACACAAGGAAAAAAACAACAGGCATTTATTGCAAAAAAAAAGCTGGGTATATTGCTTTTGTACAGGAAATACTTCCATGACAGTAGTGTTGTTCTTAAATTTGACTACTAAGTCAAATATGTGTTTCAAAATTTTCCAGAGCTCAATAAAATAAATGTGCGGTTTTTCTTATAAACAAACATTTAAAGAGAACTTACACTGAACAATACTATCATAGTATGTCTTGACCATGTCACATTTTAAAACCTCACACAACAGTTTTATTATATCACACACCTGAAATAAATGGCATTTCTTATTTAACATTCATATGATTTTCATATTCAACAATAAAGCATTCCCAACTTAAAGTTATCTAAATCATTTGGCTTAATAGTCAAAATCAGCTACATCATGTACATGTATATATACCAACTCAAACACAGGTCAATGCATCAAACTATTGGGACAAATCAGAAGCAAGTAAATGTTGTCCTTAACCATTCAGACAATATCATTCATGTTTATAATATTACAATGATTATTTTGAAATTAATCAGTCAAATCCCATGACGTTATCAATTTAATTTCATATATATATATTTTTCTTATATCAAACAATTTTTTTCATATTATTAGAAAATCCCCTAATCATCATGTAAATAAAGTGTTATATGATACACAGTCTAAGTTACTATCGTTCCGTTTTTGTATGCACTTAGCATAGAGCAGAATGGGGAACACGCACTTGTTTGTGGGAGAACAACTTCTGGATCAGGAATTAACCTTCCTAAAAATCTAGTTGTAGAATCTTTCTTTAAATACAGGTAAATATGGGAACTGGAGTGACAGGGCTTGAGCAAAATAAATAAAATCCAGTTGTTTGCATGTGTGTTTGTCCTAAGTGGTCTCTTTTATTCCGCTCATTTAAAGCTTAATTACTAGGTAATTATGTAACATAAAGAGAAAAGAAATTCTAACAAAAAGTCCAAAAATAGCAATATTGAAAATGCTGCAGACTCAGTTTGATTTGAGCCAGTTTATGGATAGTACTGGAAAGTGCATGCTACTGTTCACACCAATAGCATTAGGTTAAGCCAGTATTCAAACATTTAAACATGTAATGGTAAATTTTTTAAATTAGAAACATTAGCAGGTGTATTTTTATGGCAGTGATCATGGAACCTCCAAGTGACATGTTAGTGCCATTTCCATGAAAAAGTGGAACGTATGATTCCCAAAGAATACAATGTGTGTTCCCTTAATGAAAAAAAGAATGGGGGAACTGAACAAAAAAGGATACTGTTCTTTCAGGATTCTGTGTATTTTTTTCTGCGTTTTTCTAGATTGTTTCAATAATTAGAGTAATTTATAGACTATAAAACTGAATTTGCAAAATATTTGAACTCAGTTAGTGTCAGTGTGAGAACTGAAAGCCTAAAGAATAATTCAGACACCTCCTCTAGGACAGACTTACTACATGTAAGGCCTTACTGTTTTGCATGTAAACAAAGTAGTTTTTTGACTTCCATACAAAATACTAAATCACTTAAACGTATACTGATTGCTAAAAAGCAAACAGCTGAGGCAAAAGTTGGTTCAGATAATTGCCCATTGAGTAACTTTTTGGAAGTTATAACAGGCCACCAATAACAGGCTTTTGAGAAATAAATTAAAAATCATTTCTGGGGGCATAATGGGCCTTAAAGCAGTATGTGCTAGGGGGGCAAGGACAGTAACTTTCATTTTCCAAGTACTGTTTAGCCTCAAAAAACCGAACCTGCAACATTTTCAATTGTGTCAGTTTTGGGGTGTTCTTAAGGGATTCTATTTTTTCCTCTATGATATGCATTGTTAAACATAAACAATAATTTTTGATTCACCCATCTGCCATTATATAATGTCATGCGCAAATACACATGGCCAATATATAGAACTATAAAAATTACAATGTCATGACAATCTGGCTTGTAGAAACGAATATCTAGGAGTAAATAAAATCAATATATTATCAGATACTTATCTATTACATCAATCTATTATCTAGTTTTATTTATTAAAACTCTGAAAGTTTATATTGAAAATATCATAATATATTTTGATCAGCTGTTGATACAATGAGAATCCAGATTTAATTCAATTAATTTATTATTATATTCTGTTAGTTCTGTTAACCTTATATCTGTTGATCTATTAAATATAAAGGATATACCAAAACAAATTCCAAAAATACCCAACCATAAATATTTTTGCAGTCCATTGTTTTTAAAAATTTTGTTAAATTTAGGTGGGGACCGAATGCGTCACTAAATTCGGGACGAATCGTCACTGATGGCGAATCGTTACCCTGTTACCGACAATTTTTTATTTATAAAACAAATTAATCTTCAAAAATTAATCTCACTGGGTGGTTCAGTGATCATTAAAATCTTCTCTTATTTAATCGAGGGTAAACTGTTCAAAATTACTCAAGAACTTACAATTTTCTTCAAAATATCCTGGATGTCTGTATTCAAAATAACGAAAGTCGAAGAAGCATGGTGACCTCAGTGCACCCTGTCACGTGATTCAATCGCGCATTGATATTTTTTTCTGTACACAGGCACCACAAAATTTACTGTAATTTTCGTTATCAATAATACATTTCCAAAATGTATGTATAACCCTGCCTGTAATGAATATGAAGGTACGGATTTTCTTAAACTTGTTACCGACAATAAAATGGAACTATTTTTACTACGTGCATGTATAATTCAGCCGAAATTCGGTTCGCAGTAAGCCTGAGATGTAGCTTATAACTTTGGTTCGCTTTGCGCAAGCGCAGCGACCCAAAAACTGTTATCTTTGCGCCGTATGTTACACAGCCTGTAATAGACATTATATGCTTAAAATACATGTACGTCCAAATTTTAGAAAACGGATTAACCTACAATAAGACACTTTTTTTTTCAAAAATTGTGAGAGAGTTTGCTATATAAAGTCCACATTTCTCATGCGCATTCATACACTGAATATTATCAAGACAAGTCACAGTCAGGAAATTACATAAAGGTAAAATTTCCTTTCTGGATAATTACGTTTTATTTAGGGATAATTAAGAAAAAATATTTCTTCATATTTAAAATACATCAGTGGTTTTATATTTTCTTGCTGAAATATTGAAATTCAAACTAATAGTAGTGATTTTTTTGTACGCTGAACTACTAGAAATTATACTAAGACACAGCCCTTGTTCGACGAAATGAAGGTTTTGATTAAGTATGTAAGTAACATTATGGATAGGACAGGATTTAACTTCTGAGACGTTTTTTTTATTATTAAAAACACGAAATACTTTCAATGTGAAAGGTGGAGTCATCAAAGTTAAATTGCTTTCTGAAATTATATATTTACTATTAATTGAATGTGATAACAAATTTTATTCTAATGCAGATGTCAAGTCAGCAGAAAGGTGGTAGTTACACCGGTCCTGAAATGAAGGGGAATATGGATAACCGGAGCAACCAGTGTAATCCAAATAATCAAACTTACCAGTAAGTTCGACCATCTTTCTATCAATATTACAAAATGTTTATCAATATACCTAAGGAAATATACATAATTAGAATAATTATGAAATAAAACTGTATTTGCTACAAATGTTTTATTGTTTGCTTTATTTCGGTTGTAAGACGCATGGTGTGTTATAAAGTATATTTGCTAAAAAAACAAGAAAGTAATAACTTTATTCTCATAAAGCATTTTAGCTTTAACATCCATTTTGCTATCTCTTCTTTAAACTGTTCTATAGCTTATTTGCCCTTTGAAAGTGACTGCTACAAATTTGTCTAGTTTAAAGCTTATGAAAGAAAGTTCGAAAAAAGACATTTAAGATAGTTTAACTAGTTTTCAAGTAAGTTGATGGAGTATAGAAATGTTATTTTAGGAAGATTTAATTCTATTATTGTGTTCACTACATTACGTTTTAACCGTACATTCTATGTAAAACCAAATGAGCCGCGCCATGACAAAACCAACATAGTGGGTTTCCGACCAGCATGGATCCAGACCAGCCTGCGCATCCGCGCAGTCTGATCAGGATCCATGCTGTTCGCTTACCAACTCTATTACTAGTAGAGAAACTGACAGCGAACAGCATGGATCCTGATCAGACTGCGCGGATGCGCAGGCTGGTCTGGATACATGCTGGTCGCAAACGCACTATGTTGGTTTTGTCATGACGCGGCTCAAATGTAATACAATGTATTTGTCTGGTATTTTAGGGGACATACTTCTTCTGGATATGGCGGTACAGGGACGAGAGCTGATCTTGGCAACCATTCCAATCAGCTCAATCCAAACAACTCAAGATATCAGGCTCCGAAAAAGTGATGTTTTAACATTATGTGAAGATAAAGACTGTTGAATGTCCATAAAAATATAAATAAAGAAAATTAATTTTGAGAAAATTATGTTACTGTTTTATATTAAGAAGTACTTTCAACATATATTGAGGGCATTTAATGTAAAAAGTTTTCCCAAAAATGGCGAAAAACACAGTGCAAACATTGCAGCACTCTGAAGACAAATTACATGTACCTCCTTTTCCACAATAGTTTCAAATTCTCCTGCAGTAAGACACCACTCCAGAGCAACACCTTTCACAGACAACTTATATTTCGTCATTCATAAGGTGTTTGTTCTGCAAAGGTTATACTGCATGGAGAAAAGTATATAGTCATACTCCAACTGAAAAAGTTTATATTTTTAAGTTCACTTTTATTTAGCTTGTTGATGAAAGGG